CTCGAGGAGCCCCTGCACTCCTGGGGGTACTCATTGAAGTGGTCACAGCAGCTCCTGCTCTGCCCGTGGCTCTCATTTAATTTATTTCCAACAACCATCCCCTGGTTTCTCGTGTCTCCTCCTGATCCCAGCCCTGMCATGAGCCTCTCCCCAAGGAGAGCAGCTTTGGAGTGAGTGGGAAGGTTCCAGTTGCTGGAGCTGCTGMTYTGTGCCCTGCTGCTGCCAAGCTGCTGTCCCCTCCCAGCACCARCCCTGAGACTTGGGGAGAGTTTGTGGTTTTGCCCTTTTAAGGTAGATTTTGGCCAGGAGGAACTGATGTCCTTGTCCCGCAGTTGTTACCCTCTGTGGTTGCTGCCTGGGCTGCCAGGCTGGGTGGAGGCACCTGGGCTCTGCCTCTGCTCCCCAGGCCCCAGATTTGGGGATGGCAGCATCTCTCCTCCTGCCCTGTCCCCCTCCTCATTCGTGGGAATAAATTCTTAAGGTGAAGCCCAGTTTTTTGGGAATGCTTTTGTCTTGGGAGCCCCGGATGGTCCAAGGGGCAGAGTTTGCAGGGGCAGAGTTTGCAGGGGCAGAGTTTGCAGGGGGAGCTGCAGGTGCTGTGCCCGTGGAGGTGGGGCTGCCCTGGCCATGGCAGTGGTGGCAGGTGAGCTCCAGTGTGGCAGTGACCCCCAGGAGATGGAGCAGCTGCAGTTGAGCTGGTCACAGCTCATGCTCTGCCTTCAGCTCCCATCTTTCCTGAATGCTTGTTCCCTCCTCTTCCAGAGGCCACAGCTGTCCTGGGAGCACCTTCCTCACGTGCCTGTGTGCAAGGCTTGGAGCCAGGCACGAGGCACTGCCGAGGGTCCCCACTGTGGTACAGGACTGGGGCTGGTGTGGGATCTGCAGAGGGGATGGAGTGAGCCAGGCTCCATAGCAGTGAGCAGTGTTGAGCTGTGAGCATCCAGGGCCATTCCTTGGTGGTGTCACCCTAGAGGTTCTTCCACGGGTCTCTGCCACCAGCAGGTGTGTGCCAAGGCCGTGGGCAGCTCTGAGCAGGCAGTGAAGCTCCAGGCACTGCCCCTGCCCTGAGCAGGAGCACAGAACTGGATTCTGGCCCTTCCCAGGGCACAGCTGGGCTGTGCTGGGAGAAAGCAGCAGAAGACCCAGGCAGAAAGGCATGAGTGGCATTTTGTGTGATGTTTCTCACCTGCTGTGTTCCCCTCCCTCGCAGGACGCACCGACACGCGGCCGGAGCGCCCCGGGGAAACGCGGCGAGCGGAGAGCAAAGCCCCAGTGCCAGGAGCCGGCACCGGCAGCAGGCCAAGAGCTCACAGCACACCAGCACAGCCACCAGCATGGCCAATGGCACGGCCACCAGCATGGCCAACGGCGTGGCCACCAGCATGGCCAATGGCATAGCCAACGGCACGGCCACCAGCACGGCCAACGGCGTGGCCAACGGCACAGGTGACCCCAGTGCTCGTGGGAGGTGGGGACAGAGCTCAGGGCTGTTTATTGTGGGGAAAATGAATCTCTGCTGAGATAATGCATCTTGTAGTGCCCAGGAAAGTGCTCCCGGTGGATTGATTGGTTTGTGCTGATTTTAYTTCTGATAAGCCAGGCGGCTCTGCAGAGCGCACTGGGAGGGGCTGTGCTGCCTGTCAGGAATGATTTCTGTCTCTCCACCCTGGAGTTACCAACTCCAGGTGTCTAAAATGACACAGGGACAGCACTGTCACCAATGTCACAGTGAGGAGGACAGTTGTCACCACTGAGTGGACTTTTTTCAGGATTCTGCTGAATTTCCCATCAGTCTTTACTGAAAGTGTTCTGAGCTCTGAAGTGGGGAGGAGCAGCTGCCTGTTAAACACCAGACAAGACACACACCCACCTCTCAAACAGGGCTGGATCTTACACCATAGGGTATTTTTGGAAAGGTTCCTCTTGTCATTTCTTGGATTTGTCCACAAAGCCATGAATCTCTTGTGGATCAGGACTGGGACCTGCTGAGTGCCCGACTATGAAATCACAGATGACTGATCAATTTTTCTTCTGTCTCTCATGGAGCATCTCCTGCTCCTCTGCACTGCATTTGCTTTTGTGGGAGATGAAGGAGAGGTAGAGTGCTTAGTTTTGAATAGAAGAAAGTGTTCTGTTCAGCCCAGGAGGAGTTTGGTATTTCTTGGCGTTCCATTGGGAAAACCTGGAGCAATGCAATTTCCATTTTACCAAAGCCACTTTTTGCCAGAGCCCAGCCCTCCCCAGGCTCCTTGCTCTGTGGACACTCCCTCAGGCTGGGGACAGGGATTTTGATCCCAAGTACAACTTGGCTCCTTGGCTTTGGTGTGTTTAAAGCACTTTTTACTGGCCCAGCCACAGCCTCCCCAGTGGCTTTATGACTGTGCCATCCTTGTTGCTGATTTACCACCCTCCGTGCCTCCCACAGCTCCTGTCAGAAATGACTTGGGATGGGGAGAGGAGTGTTTTGTGTGGCTGGGATTAGTGCTGGACACCCTGGAATGCCTCTAGAARCCAATCTCCTGCTCAGTTTGGCACGTTTTGGTGACATTGCCATGTTTTTCAAGCAGGCTGTTGCAGGAACGTTCCCATTACATTTGTCACTCACAGCTGACAATAAAAGCAGATTATTCCCAGGCATGTTTTCCCCACAGCCACATTGTTCAGCCCTTGCTAAGCTCCCCCTGGAGCCCCTCCTTATCTCTGAACTTTGGCTCAGCTTTTCTCTGCGTTGTCCAGGACAGAGATCAAACTGACCACGGTGTCGTCACCTGGCTCCTGCTGCAGGTTCCCTTTGAAGCTTCTGAAAGGGCCTTTTCCTGRGATGAGGGGCAGTCAGAGCCCTCAGCTGGGTCCCACAGGACTCTGGTGGAAGTTGCTGCTGACCTGGAAATCTCCCTCACCTCCTCCTCGCTGTGTCCCAGGGTCCCTCCTCTGCCTCTTCCACACCATGAGCACCTGTAGCTCTTCAGTCTCCCATCCTTGGGGGTTTATACTGCTTTTTCCTACAATACTTCTAAATATTTGGGCTTCCCTTACAGTTTTTTACATTTCTCAGCCCTAACTCATTGCAATCTGTCTGCATCCCTCACTCCTTTGTTCCTTGTTCCTGGGTTGTTTAYAAACCTTTTGCTTTATCACTCCAGCCAGGATGTCTTGTAGCAAAGGCTCTCCTCAGCTGGGCTGCCAGGTCTTGGGGTTTTGGCTATCTAATAAATATTCCTCAAACAAATTCCCTTTCATTTTTTTGCTCTTCATTTTCCTTCTCATCCGTTTTTTTTGTAGTTTTCCTTTGCTCTGTTTCTTCTCCTTCTCTTTTCCAAAAGTTCAGTGGGATCCTGCAATATTTATCTCTTTCCAGTGCTGTTGGCTTGCAGAGCCTCCTGAAGGGAGATATAGTACCCACCATTTCAGAGCTCCTGCTCATTCCCTGAGTCCCCATCCGGGATGCAGCGTGTTTCCAGTGGCACAGGGGGCACTGAGCACAAATRCAAAGTGCCCTCTGCTTTTGTTTTGGGATGGAGGTGATGGCAGTGGCTCCCATGGGTGAGGCAGGCTGCCTTCCCTGCGAGCTGGAAGTGCTGGGAGTGCCATGCTCTGTTTCCTGGGATAGCTGGGGAGCTGTGCTCTGTTTTCTGGGAGTGCTGGGGGAGCTGTGCTCTGTTTCCTGGGAGTTCTAAGGGAGCTGTGCTCTGTTTCCTGAAAGATGAGCTGATCCTGGCCCCCTCCCTGGTGCTGACTCCTGCCCTGTGCCTTTCCAGTGAACGGGGACGCCGTGGGTGCTGCGGACATGGATGAGGACAGGCCAGCAGCAGGTTCCAGCACTCCGACCCCAGCAGTGTCCAGCACGGCCGACAGCTCCTCTGCTCCTGCCCTGAGCAGCTCTGGAGAGGCTGAGGAGGCGACTTCAGGCCCCAGTGTCCCCCCAGCTCGGGCAGCCGTGCTCGCCCTGGATGCTCTGCCCCCCGGGTAAGCTCTGCTCCCTGGGTAAGCTCTGCTCCCTGGGTAAGCTCTGCTCCCTGGGTAAGCTCTGCCCCCCGGGTAAGCTCTGCCCCCCGGGTAAGCTCTGACCCCGGGTAAGCTCTGCCTGTGGCCCTCAGGGTGGGGACAGAACCAGCTGGGTCACTCTGTGTGCTGGGACGAGAGGCTGTTTGATGGAGGGGAAACGCTGCCCCAGGAGCTGCTGGTGCTCGATGGAGCAAGGAGTGTGCCAGGGGTCCTGTGCCCCTTTCCTGGCACAGTTGTGCTCCCCGTGTGCCCCCTGCTCTGGTGGTGTCTGGCCTGTGCTCTCTGGCTGGCTGGGGCAGCAAACAGTGGGTGGCATCTCTGTGCCAAGGAGCCTCTCAGCATCTGTGCCTGGGGAGCAGCAGAGCCCTCCACTGTCATGGGGCTGCTGAAGGGATCAGTCAGAGGAGAATACCCAGGAGAGGGAGTGTGGATTTTCAGGGAGGAGTGTGGATTTTCAGGGAGGAGTGTGGGTTTCCAGGGAGCTCCTGCTGAGCAGGACATGCTCTGGGGAAGCACAGAGGGTGGGTGGGCCAGGACCCCCAGCAGTGGAGCACGTTCTCCCTGGTGCTCTGGGCTGCTCATCCTCCTCCTCCTCTGTGGGATRTTGGGAGGGGCTGGAGGAGAGGGGGTCTCTGGCTCTGTGAGGGGCAGAGTTGGGGTCTGGGCTCAGCCCCCAGTGCGTCATTCTGCCGTTGTGTGAGACCCCTTGGGTTGTGGGGAGGGGGTGAAATGGGCTGTGTTTGGGATGAAGGGAGCTGTTTATTTTGCTTTGGCTCAGGCGATGCCTGCAAGGTCAGGGCCCCGCTCGCGTGTCAGTCACAGGTAATTAGGGTTAACGGCTCACTGTGCCTTTATGCTGCTGTGTGAGGGTTTCTGTTCTCCTGGCCTGGGCWCTTCCTGTTTCCAGGCAGCTGGAAAAGTCCAGTGCTCTCAAAAAGGCCTTTATTCCAGCCAGAGCTGATTCCCCTTTCTGCTCCTACCAGGTAGACTGAAGGTCTCYTTTTCCCCACCTGGGGCTGGAAACAGGCTGTTGTTTCTTTCCTGGGGTGGGGAAGCCTCAGGATTGTGGAGGCCCAGGAGGCTGCAGGCACTGCTTTCTAAGACACAGCAGGCTGGATTTAACCTAACCCTAACTCTAACCCTAACCCTAACCCTGGCCCAGCCAGGTGGAAAGGTGGCTGTGTCCTCCCTGCCCGTCTCACTGCAGAGCTCACCACTGGAGAATCGGGTGTACCACAGCAGGGAGGAGGATAAAGGTGCTGTGCTGTGGCAGATGGGTGGAGAGGAGCATTGGAGCAGCAGTGAGGCATTCTCCAGACTGAGCTCCTGCGCTGTGGATCTCTGGAGATACCTTTGATTACACATTTCATGCTGGCTGTGCCATCCCCAGGGGGAAAGGGCAGCATGAGCTGTTTGTGCTGTGCTGTGGTGGCCTGGGCAGGGGGACACCACAGATCAAGGGGGTCCCAAGTGAAGGAGAGCAGAGAGCTGAGTCCACTGGGGTCTCATCGGTGTGAGCCCTGCCCTGAGAGCTGCCCCAGCGGGTCCTGGGCTAACGGGGATTTGCTGCACTGGAATTGCACAGTGCTGTGTCCCTGGGGTGCTGTCAGTGAGCTGCTCGAGTTCTCCTGAGCCCTGATCCAGGGAGGCTGGCTTTTGGCGGGCGCACCTCACCACAGAATTATTTTGGCTGGTGGTTTGGGGCCCAGCTGGGGAGATGGGGATGCAGGATAGCCCCTGGCTGGGATGGCTGTGAGAGCACTGCAGGGCCCACGGGGGATGGCTCCTGTCTGCTGCTCCTGCAGAGCTGCCAGGCACGTCCCTCCCGAGCCCTGCACCCTCCCTGGGTGTCTCCTTCCTTCCCTGAAATGTGGGGAGCACTCACTTCAGCCTCTGGAGGGTGGCCCCAGCCTCCCTGCTCATTCTGGGCTGTGACAGACGGTTGGGTTCATGTGGGGATCCGGAGCGATTCGCTCTGCTCAGATCTCYGTGTCTCAACATCTGCACCAGGTGTGGCAGCTCAAAGGCATCCCACACACAACTGGGACTCTGTCCTAGGGGCTGCAGAGGGCTGGAAGGAATTCTGAGTAATTTCATGCCCAACAGTGCCCAAAACCTCCATCACATCCTCTGGGCAGCACGTTCCCCTGCGAAGCTGGGAGTGTGGGTGGCACCGGGGCCGCAGTGCCCGCAGCTCTTGGGGTGCCCGTGCTCGGGCTGGGCCCTGCCAGTGACTTGATAGCGATGGCAGGGGTGGGGGGCACAGGAGCTGCTGTCCCCTGGGTCTGGCTGCCATCAGGGATGATCCTGTGTGGGCACAGCCGGGACAGGGGCACAGGAGCTGCTGTCCCCTGGGTCTGGCTGCCATTGGGGACGATCCTGTGCGGGGACAGCCGGGGTGGGGGCACAGGAGCTGCTGTCCCCTGGGTCTGGCTGCCATAGGGGATGATCCTGTGCGGGGACAGCCGGGGCAGGGACACCTCGCCCGCACAAAGAGGTGCTTTATGCTGCTGGCAGAGCCCACGGGGCTGTGGTTTCTTGCGTAAGGAGGGCGTTTTGTTTGGACCGCAGGGTTGCCTCAGCTCTGCCACTCTGCAGTGCCCATGGCTCCCTGCTTCYGTGGCCACCGTGAGCCTGTGGCAGCTGGACCAGGGCGCTTTGTGGTTGCAGTGTGGTGTGTGAGGGGAGAGCTCCCACCATCCAGGGCTCCCAGAACGGTGGATCTCCTGTGCTGGGGGCCTGTGGAGCTGGGCAAGGTGCTCTGAGCAAGGATGGGCTGTCCCCAGTGTCCCCATGGGTGTGTCAGGGGTACCCACTGCTGTCTCTGACCTGGTCCAAGGAGGAGAAAGGTCCCACACTGCTGCCTGGAAGCAACACGTGCAGTGTTCTGTGTGCTCCTCAGGGGCTGCAGTGCAGCTGAGCTGTGTCACAGAGCTGTGTGGCTGTGCTGAGGACACCAGTGATGTCCCTGGGGCTGAGCTGTGTCACAGCAGCTGTGTGGCTGTGCTGAGGACACCAATGCTGTCCCTGCAGCTGAGCTGGGACCAGCCAGGCCGTGGAGCTCCAGCGGAGCGCTCGGAGCTCGGAGCAGCTCCATCCCCAGGGCTGCCTGCTCACTGCCAGCCTGCACTGGCTCCCTTGCTGTCACACACAAGCTGCTGCATTAATTTCCTAGAGCGTTTTGTGGTGATTAATTGAGACAGAAGGTTGAATGGGGAGGGAGGCCTATGGGAGTAGAAGCGTGGCAGGAGAACACTTTATCTGTCAGCAGCTGCTGGCTCGCCTCCTCTGCTGCAGGATAAAAGCTGACAAGAAAGCACGGGCTTCACAGAGCTTTTACCTTTGCCAGGGTAAATTCATGAATGAATTCACATCAAGGATGGTTGCAGTGTGACAGTGTGAAGCCAGACTYGCTGTCACCTGGGCTGTCCTCAGGGCCACCCCGTCCTGAGTGCCATGGCCACATGAGTTTAAGCTGTACTGTGAGCAGCGAGCCCAGGGCTGCCAGGGAGAGAACCCAGCCTGAACTCAAACACTCCCCTTTGGAGATGTGTTGGGAGGAACCAAACAAAAGCTACATCAGAAACACAGGGTATAAAACTGACCCTGTGTGAAATCTTCTGCTGACCTTTCTGGGGGAAATGAGGGATTTCTGCTCCAGGTTATGGCTGTTGAGGAAGCAGAGGGCTGCAGCCCCTCCTGGAATCTCCATCCAGGAGGCCCAGCAGCTGCCACTCAGACCTGTCAAATAGAGGATGGAATGGCAGGGATGTGAGGGGATGGGCTCCCTGACCCACCAGGGCGGCTCTGTGGATGTTCTTGGGGCCAGGAATCATCACCTGCCTCGTGGTTTTATTCTCCTTGCAGGTGGGAACAGCGGGAGCTGCCCAATGGTAGAGTCTACTATGTAGACCACAACAACAAGACCACGACGTGGGAGAGACCCCTTCCTCCAGGGTAAGGGGCTCGGGGGGCTCCAGGCCTGCTCAGGGGTCTTGGAGGGATGTTCATGGCATCCTGGTGGGAGCTCCACTGGTGTCCCAGCACCCWGTCAGGCTTTGTGTGCCTTGCAGGAGATACTCAAACAGTCCCTTTTGGGGGGTTTTTGCCCAAAGAGCCCCTTTGGTGTGACACCAGTGGTTATGCAGGAGCTGGGCGCAGATCCCTCGTGCGGGTGGGTGGCAGTGACTGCCAGGGTGGCACTGTGACACACAGTGACAGCTTCCCTGGSTGCTCACAGGTGGGAGAAGCGCGTGGATCCTCGGGGCAGGTACTACTACGTGGATCACAACACCCGCACCACCACGTGGCAGCGCCCCACGGCCGAGTACGTCAGGAACTACGAGCAGTGGCAGTCACAGCGTAACCAGCTCCAGGGAGCCATGCAGCACTTCAGCCAGAGGTTCCTGTACCAGGTGAGGCTGCCCTGGCGCTGGCAGGGTCTCTCCTGGCTGTCCCATGGGTGTCGCCTGGGAGCCACGGGGCGTGGGAGGGCTGGGCTGTGAGGGGTCTGTGAGCAGAGAGCTCAGAGCAGTGCCTGGGTGGGAGCACAAACTCCTCAGCTGCCTGCAGAGACCATGGGGGAATAACTTGCTGTTTATAAACGAGCTTGCACGGCCCTGAAAGGTGGCCGGAGGTGTCCTCAGCAGCCTGTCCCCAAGGGCTCTCAGTGCCACTGTGGCCAGGCACACTCTCCTGTAGATCCCATCAGACAGGCCCTGCTGCTGACCCAGGGGGTGCAGAGCCTGCTGTCGGAGCTGAGGGAGCCCTGGGAGCCTGGTCTATAGCAGGGAAGGCTCTGGGGCCCAAGCTCATCCCTCCCCGGGTCTCAGTCGGGCTGAGGACAGCGGGGCTGGGTCCTGGGTGCAGCAGGAGCTGCAGACCTGGGGTACAAGTGGAGAGGACTGCAGGAGCCAGGGAATGAGTGGGGCTTGGCCAGCTCCCTCCTGCTCACTCTGCTGCTGCCCTCGTTCCTTGTTTGGTATTTGCATTTCCTTGCTCAGGGAATGGTCTCCCAACCATTCTGTTCTGGGCATTCCACGCTTGTCCTGGCCGTACCTTTGCCATGAGCCAGACCCAGCTGTGGGGTGAGCACCTCTGCTGACCTGAGCAGTGCTGCTGGATTGGGCTGTGGGSAGAGCAGGGCTTGGGAAAGGGCCAGGCTGGAGTGTTTCTGCCCCTGGAGCGGTGATCTGCCTGCGTGCAGGGGTGGAACTGCACTGGTGCCCGAGGTGGTGAACAGTGTGCAGGGAAGGTGGGCAGTGCACAGGGACCGACTTCTCATCGAGTTTTATCTGCTCAGAGAAATCCAGCTGGGACTGGAGTGAGCTCAGGGCTCCATGGAGGAGCTCAGCTGCTGTCTGGGACAGGGTGCAGGCAGGGCAAGGTCCATTCTGTGTGGGACACAGCCAGGCCCCCTCCCAGGGCTTTAGGAGCGGCTCAGCCCCTTTCCTCCCCCTGCCTGTCCCTCCCTGGATGTCTCTGAAAGGGGGAGCAGGACCCCCATGGCTGTGCAGAGCCCACTGGAGGGCACTGGGAGGGTCTCCCGTGGGAAGGGCTCCCCTGGGAGGGGTCTCTCACCATTCCCAGCAGAGCTCCAGGCCGTCCCTCGCTCCCTGCCAGCGCCAGCCTTGGAGCCGCTCCAGCGCCGTGCGACTCGCCCTGGCCGCGCTCTGCCGAGGGAGGGACTCAGCTCCAAATTTAGCCTGATGAAACGATTGCACTTTTTGTTTCGAGCTCTGCTGCCAGCAGTGATGGCTCCTGCCCTGCCTCCTGCCCCACAGGGGCTTTGTGCCTGACTTGCCCCCACTCCCAGCATCCCCCAGCCCCCGTTGCTGTTGGGGATGCTTGGGGTGATGAGCAGTGAGGCAGAGCTGGGGAGGGCAGTTTGGGGGGCCGGGTAAAGCTGGGGACCACTCTCCCAGCAGATGCTGCAGTGCTGCATCCCCTGCACGAAGGGCCTCTGGCACAGGGGCCAGGCTGTTCCAGGGCTGTGGGGAGCTGCAGGATCTGCCCGTAGCTCTGCCCTGGAAGCTCAAACGAGCTATTTTTAGGTGCCAGTGAGGTGGTACCTCTGGATGTGACTCKGCTGCGTGTCTGGGCAGCCTGTCCCGATGGAAAGGAGCAGACACTGCCCACAGTCCGAGCTGTGCTGGCCATGGCAGTCCTGGCACAGAGGGTCAGGTACGGGGGACGAAGCTCAGAGGGGCACAGACTGTGCCAGGACACCCCGGGCTGCCGTGTGCTGCATCCATCCAGGTTTTGGTCCCACTCTCTGGGAGTGGGGGGCCCTGGCACCCCGAGGGCCGGGGCTGGGCCTGGTTCCGCGTCTGGCTGCGTGTGGCATTCCCTGAGCCCAGRCTGGGATCCATCCCGGCACGGGGGCCCCTCCAGCAGCTGGGTTTTTCCCTTTTGGGTAACGATGCGTTTCTTAYTTAACCATTCCAAGTGCTCCCCTCCTGCCCTGCACCCGAGGACCCTCCAGCCCSAGGAGCCCAGCGGGGCTGGGGCGGGGGTTTGCACCCACCGGGGCGGGACAGCGGCCCGATCCCCCCGTGCTGGGCCACCCCCGGCTCAGGAGAAAGGGGCTTTTGTGCGGTGCGGGGCGGGGGCCGGGGCCGGAGCCGCCCGTCTGCGCGGCTGAATGCGGGCTCAGTGCGCATCCCGCACCCCGGCCCTGCCCGCGGAGGAGGGGGCCGCCATCCCGCCAGGAAGCGCGGGGCGTGGACAGCGCTTGTGGGAATGATTTCATTGGAAAGGCCTGCGATATTTTTTCCCCTCTTGTGTGTGGTTCTTGGAGGAGGCTGGAGGTGTATGTGGAGGGGACGCCGGAGCAGCCGCGCACGTCCGGAGCCCTCCGGGCCGTCCCGCTGCCCTCGGCCGGYGCAGCCCCAGCCCCGCCACGCCTTGGCTGCCCCAGCCCCTGCTTAGGCTTTTGGGCTTTTTTCTTCTTCTTTTTATTTATTTTTTTTTTTCTTTTTTTGTTTCTTTTTTTAACCCCCTTTGAGTGTGCGAGTTTTTTTTAGTTCCCTGGGAGCTGCGGGCCAAGGAGAGGAGAGAGTGAGCGGGGCTGGCCGGCTCACCTCTACCTTCTGCTTCTCCCAGCCGTCCCGGCTCCGGCGTTTATTCCGTGTTTTTGCTCTCTCTGTTGTCTCTAGTCCTCCGGAGCCCCATCYGACAATGATCCTCTGGGGCCCCTTCCTCCTGGCTGGGGTAAGTACCGCTGCCTCACCTGGCCCTGCATGGCCCCAAGGGACACTTCAGTCACACCCAGGGGACCCTGCCCATCCCACGGGAGCATCCCTCACTCCCATCCCTGGCATTTCTGGCAAGGGTGGCCCTGGAGCCAGCGYTCCCTTTGCTCGGCTGCACGTGGGGCAGAGTCTGCCTGTGACTAGCATGATCTCTGATGTGAATTTCAGCCTTTTTTCCCCTTTTATTCCCTTTTTCCTGGAGGAGTTCCCAGCCTCTCTCAGCTGCTGAATGCACAAGTGCTTCAGGGGAAAATGGACGGGGGAAAATGTTGGGTATCCAAGTCCTTGCTTGTCCCCAGACCCCTCCTGTGGCGAGCAGGGATCTGTCCCACTGCTGTGCTGCTCCTGGGATGCTCTGCCTGGGTCGGGAGTGGGGCTGGGAGCTGCAGGAGTGGGGCTGGCTGTCCCCACACGGCCCGAGCATTGTGTGCCAGGACATTGTGAAAATCCCTGTGCCCCCTCCCTGGGCAGAGAGACCCCTCTGTGGTGAGAGCATCCCTGGGATGCTCATGGGTGCAGCTGGGCCGTGCTGTGCCAGGAGGGCAGGAGGAGAGGGGTTAAAATTGGAGGAGTTTAGGGCAGGACAGAGGGGCCCAGGCTGCTCAGGGAGTCCCCAGGGGCAGTGTCCCCATGGGGGTGCTGCTGGAGCCCTTGCTGGGTGTCCCATCTCCCTCCAGCAAGGAGAAGGGACCCATTGCCAGTGCCAGCTGGGCAGACTGGGGAGAGCCCTGGGGTGAGGTCCCCRGGATGGGTGGGATCCCTGGGGTGGATGCAGTCCTGGCCATGACACGGGAGCTGCTGCCCACAGTCCACGAGTGAGATGGAGCGAGGGGCTGGCGCTGGCCAGAAGGATGACAGGGACTGACAAGGGGGTGATGAGGTGTTCCTGCCTGCGTGGAGCAGGGCCGAGTGTGCAGGAGTGGCACAACCCATGGAAGAGGAGGAGGTGTGGGGCTCACACGGTGCTGGGGAAGCAGGGGGTGTGTGTAGAGGTGGCTGCTGTGTGTGCTGGGGCTGCTTTGTGTGCAGCACAAGGAGGGGTGCGTGTGTGCACGGGTGTGTGTGTGTGTGTGTGTGTTCACACACGTGTGCACTGGCAGCAAGGCCATGGAGGGAGTCTGGAAAGCACCTGTGCCTGCATGTGGAGGGACAGTGCCAGCCTGGCAGTGCATTGGCAGCACTGGCTCTGCCCTGGCACCTCCTGCACGCTGGCACTGCCGGCCCCAGGCAGCTCGGGCATGGGGAAGGAGTGTGGGGCTTGTCCTGCCTCCTCCAGACGAGCCAGGGAGGTGGGATAGGGAGCTGGGAAGGGGAGGGCTGTTGCCAGGACTGCAGCTAACACTTCCTCTCCCTTTTCTCCTAGAGAAGAGACAGGACAATGGGCGAGTGTATTACGTGAACCACAACACCCGAACCACGCAGTGGGAAGACCCTCGCACRCAGGGGTAGGTGTGGGGGAGCAGGAGGGTGCTGTGCTTTGGGAAGGTGCTTTGGGAAGGTGCAGTTGTCCAGGGCCTGCCCTTTGCTGGCCTTTATGCCCCACAGATGGAGGGGGAGGCTCTGGCAGTGCCGTGGCTGTGGCTGGAGCGCTGCCCGGGCAGGGTTTCTCTCGGGGTGCGGGCAGGCGCTTGCCAATCCTGTGCCATGAGTCCTTCTTTTTGCCTGGCACGGAGCTYAGTWCAGGGGGCAGTGCCCAAGGGGCCCRTCTGGTGAGCCYTTCCTTGCCCGCAGGATGATCCAGGAGCCGCCTCTGCCSCCGGGCTGGGAGATGAAGTACACGAACGAGAGCGTGCGGTACTTCGTGGATCACAACACCCGCACCACCACCTTCAAGGACCCGCGCCCGGGCTTCGAGTCCGGGTAAGCACCGAGCCGGGTCTGGGGGCACACATGGGCTCTGGCAGGGTGGGCTGCACCCCAGTGACCCTCATCCCACCTGGCTGGTGATGGGGGCTGCTCAGGGCAGGGTGCTGACCCAGACCCTGCTGCTCTGGCAGGAGCAAACACGGCGGCTCCCCRGGCGCGTACGACCGGAGCTTTCGCTGGAAGTACCACCAGTTCCGCTTCCTGTGCCACGTGAGTAGAGCGGCTGTGGGCGGCTGCGTGGGTGCCCTGAACCCCTGGGCAGACGTGGGTGAGGAGGGCTCTGCCAGCCTCACACATCCCCGTGCCTCTGCCCTGCCCGCAGTCGAACGCGCTGCCCAGCCATGTGAAGATCAGCGTGTCCCGGCAGACGCTCTTCGAGGACTCCTTCCAGCAGGTAGGGAGGAGGTGGCACTGCAGAGCTGGGGGGGAGTGGAGCTGGGTGGGAGTGGAGCTGGCCCTTGGGAGCAGAGCTGGGTGGGAGCGGAGCTGGCCCTTGGGAGCAGAGCTGGSYKKGRGSRGWGSWG